CATTAACTTTTAGTACATTGATTTTTAGTACATTAACTTTTAGTACATTGATTTTTAGTACATTAACTTTTAGTACATTAACTTTTAGTACATTAACTTTTAGTACATTAACTTTTAGTACATTACCTTTTAGTACATTGATTTTTAGTACATTGATTTTTAGTACTTTAACTTTTAGTACATTAACTTTTAGTACATTAACTTTTAGTACATTGATTTTTAGTACATTGATTATTAGTACATTAATTTTTAGTACATTGATTTTTAGTACATTAACTTTTAGTACATTAACTTTTAGTACATCGATTTTTAGTACATTAATTTTTAGTACATTAACTTTTAGTACATCGATTTTTAGTACATTAACTTTTAGTACATTAACTTTTAGTACATTGATTTTTAGTACATTAACTTTTAGTACATTGATTTTTAGTACATTAACTTTTAGTACATTGATTTTTAGTACATTAACTTTTAGTACATTGATTTTTAGTACATTGATTTTTGAGAAAAGTGGTAAACTATATAAGATATTTTCTTCAAACTACTCCTTTTCATTCACAACTTTTGTTTATGTCAACATGTGACATTTCTATTTTAAAATGTAAATAAATGAATAAAACAAACTTCAGCCCGTACGGGGCGGCTCTGCTTGAAAATATCATCACTTACGATCTCATGTTACTCTTACGTCACATGACCCATTAGCACTTGGAGTATGTGTTGGGTATGACTCTCAGCAACTACCACAGCTAATATAATTCAGTATCTGTTAACTAGACTGACTCAGTTATGAGTTGGCTGTGGCAGCCATCTTGAATTGGCTTGAGTCCAAAAGTTAATTGATGTACAGGCAATGATTGCAGTTCTTTCTGAATGTTTCATAGTTGGTGCTTCATGAAATATTTTGCTAACACTGCCAGGAAACAAATGCACAGTCACCTGAGCAAAAAATGTTTTCTCTACCTCACCTTTAATGTGAGAAAACTGCAAACAAAAACCACTAAATCTTGTTTTCTTTGATTAAAATGCTGTTGTGTCGTATCACAGCAACAACTTTATACTTTATTTGAGGTTTCTAGACGCCGTCTAATGTCCTGTCAGGAGATAAAAAAAAACAGAACCAGTTCTGGTGCTGTGGAGAAAAAAAAGACAAGAGCTGAAAGGCGACTGTCCCAGGCTTGTAACTACAGTCGCACTGAATGCAACCATTGTTAGTGTCTGTAAAAAGCTATGGAACCAGCAGACCGTGTAACACTCACATCCCAGCCCCCAGTGCTGGCCTAGATTCTGGGCCCGTACACTAGAGCAGTGCTCTTCTTCATCGGCCGTTGTGAGGCTTCCAGCTCCAGGGAGAAGTTTCATGTGTCATTTGGCTTTGGCTCAAAGAGGAATTAAAGGTCTTTTTCCAGAGTTGTTGGAGGTAAATCCTTCTCTCGCTGTGTTGGAATCATCCCCTCGGGTCAGAAAGAGGCACAATATGAAAACAGATGCCAAGCAGTCATTCAGAATTCAAAGTTGGATGAAGTGGGCCGGTTCAGGAGACGCAGCAAAATGAGGAAGAGGACAAGTCACGCATTTATCCTCCTCCATCTAAAGCAAAGGGGCTGTGGTGTGTGTGGTGGGAAGATGAGTTCAAGTTCAAGGAGGTTTTATTGTCATTCCATCACATGTGGTGCATGAGGTGGGATGAAATTATTCAATTCAATTAAATTCAAAAATACTTTATTAATCCCAGAGGGAAATTATTTGTTGTTGTAACTCGTTATCCTCATTTCATTAAGAGATGTTATAGATACTGATGGCTGCAGACAGGAAGGATCTCTTGTAAAGGTCCATCCCACAGTGGATCCTAAGAAACTGGCTGCAGCTGCCATCCGATCCGTCCACCCAGACTTGGCTGGCCTCTCGGTTCCTCCGGCCTGTAGGACCGCCCAAATGCAGGACAGAACTCCTCCCAGAGCGATGGCCACTCCTCCCAGCAGTCTGCCGAGCTCCTCGTCGCTGCGGACAGCCAACTGTAGGTGCCGAGGGACGACCCTGTCCTTCCGCTGTCACGAGCCGTGTTTCCTGCTAGTTCTAGGATCTCAGTGATCAGGCACTCGAGCACAGCTGGCAGGTAGATGAGAATGCATCCAAAGAACATCCTTTTCAACTCATTTGAGATTTGGGGCTGTAGTTGAGATATTATTTGAGCTTTTGAGATGTTAATCAGCTGCTGGTTGTAGAAAACTGCCTTGTTGCCATGGTTACGCATCATAACAAATGTCCAAAACTAAAAATCCTTCCAGCTGCACAGCATCTGATACCAGAGGAAACAATCATCCAAAAAATGTGATTTACATCCAGAAAACGATGTGCACATGGTCCCAGTTACATCCAACAATAAAACTATAAAGTGTAAAAAGAAATGGTAAATAAGGATCTAAGATATACGTTAAACACTAATTGTGCAAAACAATATTCTGAACAACAGCAGCACGAATTTAGTTATACAGTGACTAAAACTGGTTTTTACAATAAAATCCACTCCTGGTCGCATTTGATTTGTTGTCTGTCATTCAGTGTTGTCTTGCTTGTATATGCATTTATTTATTTTAGTTTAGTTTATTTTTTTTAGCCATTTAAATTTTGTTTTTTTCATTTATTCATTTTTTATTACCAATGTATTTTTTTCATGGCAAATGAT